ATGGGGCTCCTGACCCCATGGGGCCGTGTCCTGACTGGCCCCGTCTGCTTGCGGGGCACCCCACTGCGAGCTGCGCCCCGCATCCCCTCGGAATGCTTTCCTTTGGGGATGACTTCCCCGGGCGGTGGGGCTCCTCTCTGTTGAGGAAATGTCTTTCATCAGTAGAAATGAGACCAGGGGAATAGTTTCCATTCGTGTCAGGATAAAAACGGCTCAAGCCGGGCGGGATTGATTGCTGAAAAGAATTGGAGCAACCCCAGTGCCGTTTCGGAAGGCTTCCCACTGCTCTTGCCTGCAGTAAACACGGAATATATTTAGCAGCAGAGCCCAGCGTGAGGCAGCCTCTTACTGCAATAATAGCGGGGCCTTGCCTTTGAATCCCTTTCTCTTTCCCTAAGGAATGGGTTTGACAGAGCCCTTGAGGCATCGCCCAGGGCTCCTGCCCCTGCCCCATTGCCAAGGGGGGTGTTTGTCCTTGTTTGCCGGGTGCAGCAGCCTCCAGTGCAGTGAGTAACTGCAAACAGGCACTGGGGTGGATGTGTGGCACCAGTGATCCCTGCTCTGATGGCACCCCCCCACTGAGCCCTCATATGCTCCATCCCTGGCAGTGATCAGGGCTTGGAGCACCCTGCTCTAGTGGCAGGGGTTGGAACCGGATGAGCTTGAAGGTCCTTTCCAACCCAAACCAGGCTGGGATGCTATGAAACCCGATGGAGCTGGAGTGAGAGGTGAGCTAAAGGGAGGCAATGTTGGTTTACTGCCCCCCAGCCAGCACCCGTTGTTCCTGATGCACATATTACACATGCAGGCAATGGGAAAACCTCTATTTCACAATAATGCACTTTCTTCACTGTATTCATTATTCAGATTGCTCCAAAGCATCCTCATAAACCAGGAACCTGCTGTGCTGCGTCCAAGTACACCCAGAAAGAGACAGCCCTGGCCCCAGTGAAGCCTGTGGGCTTTGGTACCTCTCCTCTGGATGTCACCAGCCCAAGAGCTGCTTGGCCACAGGCACGCAGAGACCCTGCATCTCCCCTGCTTCACTGCAGGCCAAAGGGGGAATTGAACCCATGAGGGCAATGGTGTATCAGCACTGGCTGGAAATCATCATCGGGGCTTGAAATAAAGCCCTTTGCCCAAAGCAGCCTCTGGGCATCCTCCCCATGGGGTGTTTCCCTTGAACATGATCCCGTTTCCCATTTCCATGGGAGAACAGGAGCAGAGTTTGCCTGGCACCGGCTTTGGGCTGGTTTAGCCCTTTTAGCAGGCAGAAATGGGAGGTGCTGGGAGATGGAGCCGAGTGTGTGTGTGACAGCCCCGGGCATGTCCCTGGTGTCACTTCACCCCAGCATCATCACATTGGTGCAGTGCAGGCACCGGGCTCAGCGAGGGGAGGTGAAGGGAGTGCGACTGCAGCCTGCATGGATGCAGCAGAGCCCTCAGCAGATGGGCAGAGGTTGCTGCTGTGGTGAGGCTGGGATGCTAAAGCACAGCAGAAACCCAGAGGTCCCACAGGGAGCAGAAACCAACCTATCTTCCATAGCCAGGCTCCTCCGAGGCTTGCTCACAGGCTGCTGTTGGGATGTGGGTGGTGGGTCCCAGGGGTGCTGGGGCAAAGAGGGTGCAGAATGGGGTGACAGCAAGGAGAGCAGCATGATGCCAAGTGCAGAACAAGGATGGGAGGAGGCCTGTGGCTGCTCCAGGGTGCTGCATCTGGTGTGTCCCCAGGCTGGGACAGCCCCAGGTTCAGCATCCCCGCAGCGATGGCTTTTCAATCTGTTCCCAATTCATTTTCCATATTAGGTGTAATTTAGCAGCTCCTCTCCTCCTCCTCCTCCTTCTGTGCTGTAATTAGCACTTCGGGGCTTGAGTCATGTCCTTTAATCATATCTAGACTGCAGTCAGTCCTGCCAAGGTGAGTAATTCACCAGGCAGAGATAAAGCCAGGCTGTGGTCAGAGATACAGTGCTCAGGGCATGGACCTGATACAGCATCAGGTCTTGGGCAGCACCAGAAGGTGATGTGTTTTCTGTGCCCTCCCATCCCTCCCAAGGGGGAACTGCAAAGCAAACTTGGCTGTTATTAATACCTTGCTTTGAGACGTGTGGCCCAGCTGGGCAGGAGAGGAGACCCAACCTGGAGACACACCTGTAAGGATGCTGTCACCGCGGGTACGCATCCATCGCAGGCGTGCCAATGGGGTTCAATCTGGGATGTGACACCGCAGGAATGCAGCAGGTCCCAGCCTTGTGAGCAAGGCAGGAGCTGGCGGTTGCCAGCAGACAGAGAAAGATGGGAATAAAAATGAGCAATCCTGGCACAGGATGGGAAGGCGAGGAGCGGAATGGCAGGCGGCAGCTTCAGTGGGACCTTCAGGGATGTAACAGCAGCCAGGGGATGCTGAGGTGAGGCTCCAGACCTCCCGGGCACTTAAGGAAGGTTGATGATCAAAGGTTTTATAGCTTATGAGGAGCTCATAAGGCAGCCAGGACCTGGATAATGGGGGATTTTAATTACTTGGATATTGACGGACATAATGAGTGTGCAGCAAACCACAGAGGGAAACCCATGGCTGGAGGGGAAGAGCAAGATTGATCTATGCACAGGCTGTTAAATAACATAAATTGTTCAGGGCCTCTTCTGGCCCTGGTTCCAGGAGCCGAGCCAAGTATGATAAATAAGGTCGGGGTTGGGAAGTGTCTGGAATCCAAATGTTTGTGTTCTCGTTCCATCCCAAACAGCCACGGGGACAAAAGTGGAAGCAGGAGTCTGGGCTGAGCGATGTCCTGGGGAGCGGAGCCGCGGCCGGGATGGCATCTTAGGAACTGCAAGCACTGATTTGTCCCGCTCGCAGACCCCACAGGGGAATCTCCCCTTAATAAAAGGGGTAACAAGGAGTCAAGAGCGTGTCCCCGGGGCGGCTCCCGAGCTGCAGCTTCACAATGGAAACGTGGACATCAGCGCTGCAGGGCCCGGCCTCTGTTTGCAGTGATAAGAGAGTTTCCTTGTGGGTGGCTCTGTGACTGCTGTTGGGGCCGAGGGTTGTGACATCCCGCTTGGTCTTGCATCAGTTCCCTGCCTGCTGTGCTCGGAGAGGGGGGGTTCTGTCCTTTTGCTGGTTTCTCCTTGCTGTAAACGCACCCACGTTAGTGAAGAGGTGCAGAAATGGGCTCATCCCATTGCAGGGGTCTTGCTGTTGTGGCCTTTTTAGGCACAGGCTTAAATGACCTAAACGCAATCATGAAGCACCCGAGACCTTAGCTCTCTGTGTCCTGTGAGCAATAGGAGATGGCAGTGATTTGGGGACAGAGAGAAAGCAAAGCTGCCCCATCCTGCAGGAAGGGTCTGTGCATCCCTGTCTAGTGCGGGAGTGCCGCAGGATCCTCCTGGAACCTGATTTTAAAGGAGCTGAATGTGATCGACGCATGTGCTGTCCCTAACAAAGCATTTGGGAAAGGGAGCTCAGACGGGGCGAGCCCTTGTTGTGTAGGTTCCCAACCTGGGACCACCATGGGCTGGGCAGCTTTTGGGGCACCTTGCTTGCCCCAGAGCTGGAGCATCGCTGTGATTGTGCTGGGCTGGGCAGGGGAAGGGCCCTGCGAGCCCCAGGGGTGGTTTCCATTTAGCTGGAGCAGTTTCTCCTTCCCTTTTCCCTTCCAAGCTGCAATGTAACAGACCGAGCCAAGCATCGGAATGAAATATTCCCCACATCAAACATGCAGCAGCTGGTCAGAAATGAAGATATGAGCACAATGAGGGCTGCCAGGCTGAGATTTAAAGGTGCTGCCACCTTCCCGTAGGTCTTTTACTGAAGATACCATCTCCTAAGCCCCAGCTTTAAGCCTGGACCTCTAAAGAGGGCACGGACTAGAATTCACCAGGGAGCTTCAATGCTTCGAGCCGAGCTTTTTGCTGCCCTTATGGGAACAAAGTCTCATTTCAAAGGACCTTGACTCTCTTTTGGCACTGCCAAAGCTATTTTTGCACCGCGGCACTGATTGGGTGTGAAACCCAGTCTCCGGCAGCCGCGCCAGCAAAACCCAGGCAGGCAAAACACGGTGGCATATGGCTTTGTTTCCCTCAACATGCCGCTTCCAAGGCATCTGGGGGTGTGCTCACACTATAAAGGGCACCTGGCATTATAGGAAAGGATTTAACCCTGTTCTTGGAGCAGACCTGCCCACCCATCCCAGCGCCGTGAGGTTTTGCTGCTCTGGCTTCATGGTGTCTCTATCATAAGAGCCCCTCTATTAGGCAGCAGGCTGGTGTTGGTCTGCTGCAGATACCTAGTGAGGACTCCGGGTGGTTTATTCCCTTGGGGAAAACCATGTGTCCCCATGTCCCCTGCCACAACCCGCTGCTTCTCGTCGGGATGTAAGAAAGCAAAGCCTGTGAGCGCCCAAATATTGCAGGGGTTGAGGGACTTCAGCATCACCCCCGCGGCTGGGGAGCTGCGTTTGGCAGCAGCACCTCCCTGTGCTCCCGCAGCAGACGCAGCAGCTACGCAAGGTCTCTGCCTCTTGTTCGAACCGGGAACAGACAGAACTGCCTTGTGCAGACACAAGTGACGGTGAAACCCCGGCTCCCATCCAGCGGCCGGGATGCAGGCGGCACCGCTTGTCGTTACCGGCCCCATCTATCGCGATCAGGCTGAAAGGGTCGATGGGAACTGAATGCCTTGAGGCTGCCCCCGTCTTTTGGGACCCCAACAGCATCACGTCCTGGTGTCGCAATGCCACGGCCGGTTGGTGGGGGGAGAGGAGCCGTGTTTGGGTACCAAAGGCAGCGGGAGGCCCCTCAGCCCCCCATAAACCCCGATGGGTGCGCTGTTTGATCTGCCCTAACCCCCCCCCCCCCCCCCCAACCTTGCTCCAGCATCCCGGCTGCGGCACAGCCAAAAGCGGGTTTCTGCCGCCACCTCGCGATGGGGAAGCGCTGGGATGTCGCGATGGGCAGCGGCTTGGCGACAGACACGGGGCCCGCAGCACGGCTCGGGGCGGGGGGGGAAGCGCTGCTTTATTTATCAGTCCGTGTAACCCCAAGGGTTCCGGGGGTGGGGGGAGCGAGCCTGGTGCGGTGCAGCAAGCAGGGCTTGGATGGACACGGCTCTTCCCGGTGCTGTGGGGGGGGTGTTGTGCTGATCCTGGTGCATTGAAGGGATGCTGTGCCCATGCCATTGCCATGGATGGGTGTTGTGCCATCCCGGTGCCGTGGAAGGATGCTGTGCCCATGCCATTGCCATGGAAAGATGCTGTGCCCATCATGGTGCTGTGGAAGGATGCTGTGCCCATGCCATTGCCATGGAAAGATGCTGTGCCCATCATGGTGCTGTGGAAGGATGCTGTGCCCATCCTGGTGCCGTGGAAGGATGCTGCGCCCATCATGGTACTGTGGAAGGATGCTGTGCCCATCATGGTGCTGTGGAAGGATGCTGTGCCCATCATGGTGCCGTGGAAGGATGCTGTGCCCATCATGGTGCTGTGGAAGGATGCTGTGCCCTTCATGGTGCTGTGGAAGGATGCTGTGCCCATCATGGTGCTGTGGAAGGATGCTGTGCCCATCATGGTGCCGTGGAAGGATGCTGCGCCCATCCTGGTGCTGTGCCCATTGCGGTGCCCTGGAAGGATACTCTGCCCATTGCAGTGCTGTGGAAGGATGCTGTGCCCGTGCCATTGCCATGGAAAGATGCTGTGCCCATCATGGTGCTGTGGAAGGATGCTGTGCCCATCCCGGTGCTGTGGAAGGATGCTGTGCCTATCCTGGTGCCATGGAAGGATGCTGCACCCATCCCGGTGCTGTGCCCATCGCAGTGCCCTGGAAGGATGCTGTGCCCATCGCGGTGCCCTGGAAGGATGCTGCACTCACTGCGTGCCTTCTGGGGGTCCCCAACAGCGGTGCTTTCCTCCCTCAACAACCCAGAGCATGTCCCACATGTCCCAGACGTGCACAAGCAGGAAGGGTGCTGCTGGAGGAGGTTTGGGTGAAGGTCCCTGTGGTTGGACTGCTGCTCAGGTGCTGCAGAGGTGTGGCCTCCTGCACAGTGCAAACCCCATGGCAAGTCAGGCACTTATCATCCCTTCCCTCGTCGTGTCCCTGATGCTCTTCAGGAAGCTGAAGATGTGGGACCCACCGGTCCCTTTGGCCTCCAGTGCGGACGGGGGCTTCCCTGTGGAGGAGCCAGCCTCGGTGCCCTGCTCTGCCCGCCCAGCCTTGGCCTTGGCCTTGGCCGCCGCGATGCTGATGTACTTGGTGACGATGGTGATGTGGTGGGACCTGAAGTCCGCCAGCGCGGACACGCACTGGTTGAAAGCCGCGTGGAGCCGCGTGTCCCCGGAGGAGAGCACCCGCTGCTTCAGGGATGGGGCGCGGTGGATCTCCTCCACGAAGGCTCTGTGTGGCGGGGGCATGTAGCCCCTCATCCTGTGCAGGAAGGCGGCTGCAAGGCACCGGCAAAGGGAGGAATCAGTGGGTTGAAGCACCCTGACGCTCAGCCCCCAGCCTGCATGGCCAACTACTTGAGAAAGAAGACCCATATTAGGCCAATGCTCCATTAAGGTTGGTTTTAAGCCTAAAAGGTAGAGTTTAGGCCTTGCCCTCAGCCTTTGGGTTTGGGTTGTTTGGGGGTTTGTTTTTTGCTGTTAGAATGGGTTTGCTAACTTGTGATAAACGTATCCTATGGGATGGACTAAAGCGATGAGGTGTGAACGGGTGAGCTGAGGATGCTCTGCTCCCTCGTCTCGGTACACGTCTATAACCTCAGTATAAAGCTGACACACAGAAAGCAGAGGCTGGGCCAGCTGGGAATTTATAGCAGTAAGGAAGTGCTGCCAGAGCCTCGGTTATAGGCTTCCTCCCTAACAAACTGGGCAGAGCCAGGCAATGCGAGGGCGAGATGGGAATCGCTCTGCCTTGGTTCTTCCCTCACCCCTTATTCCCTTAGGAAAAAGGAGAAGTGGGTGTCTTACCGCTCTCCTCGCTGTGGCGAATGCCCAGGAGCTCATCAAAGGCGTGAAGGATGGTGCTCTGTGCCGCGCTCCCTCCCGAGTACTCCATGGGCTCATCGGATACCCCTTCGTATATCAGCCCATCCGGCATGGCCGGGTTATCCTTCCAGCTGAGCAGGAAGACACAGCAGTGAGGCAGGGAGCAGAGAATGGGATGGAGGGGCTGCAAGCAGAGACCCTGAGCTGGTAACATGGAACAGAACCTTCCTAACCCAGCCATGGATCTCCTCTTCCTCCTCGCTCAGCCTCGTCCTCAAATGGGAGATGCACTTGGGAAGCAAACGCTACTGAGGTGCACCATAAGGTCATGGGTATAGGGAGGAAGCCTCAATTATCTCTCGAGTAGGAGCTAGGGATTGTTCTATGGGATGCCACACATGGATGAGCACCCTTGGGCTTTGACCCATGTGCAGAGCTGGGTGTGCAGGAGCAGAGGGGCAATAATGGCACTTGACATTAACGCCTTGAGATCCCAGTGGCCATTGGGAGAAGCCGGTTGCCCCTGCGGCGGAGTCACCCAAAACGCTCCCCTGACCCCCTTTGGGGTTATTCCTCGTTACTCCTGAGACAGTGCCCTTAAAGACAGCAGAGAACCAGCCTGTAGCGTGGCTCCCTCCCTCTCCTCAAGCTGCTCATCCTCAGCAAGCCCAGAGACCGGTGCACGCATCAACCCGCAGCCCTTGCACCCAGCTCCGTGCATGGACCAGCGCTTGCCCACGGATGGAAAGGGGGAGTTCTGATTTCACAGAGATAACGTGCCTGGCACAAAAATATCTCTTGACCTTCTGAAGAATGCACCCGTTTCATGAGGCTTTCGGTGCTGGCTGCTAGGGCTGTGTGAGTGCTGGAGCAGGTTTGGCCCAAACTGCAGAGAAAATAGATTCATTATCAAATACCAGCGTATTTTTAGCTCTCCCCGGGCTGTATTTATAGTAATCTTTACTAGTGGGAAGCTCTTCTAAGCAGAAGGGAATTTAAAAGGCATGTTGTTCCAGGCCGATGGCCATCAAGACAAGGTCAGCTGGGATAAAATATGAGAGAAACCTAAGCCGGATGCATGGAGCCTTTTGATTTAGGACTGCTGAGATATGCTGAAGAGAAATAAGAATAGAAACCCCTTGGGAAGGATGCTCGCAGCCCCGCAGGGAAGAGGAGGGATGACAAACACACAGCTCCAGGCTCACAGTCATGGTTCTGCCTTGCCCAAATGATCTTTCCTAGTGTTTGTGGGCGGTTGTTTTACTTACCCAGAGAGAAAGATGCGGATCACGGAGTAGAACACTGCTGGATCCACATGGTCTAGGAAGGAACCAGGTCATAGATGTTAGTGCAAGCAAAAGGCCATTTGTTCCCCATGCACCAGTGGTCCCTCCTGTCACAGCCAAGGTGAACTGAATCTGTGCTCAGAGAAGGACCTGGCGTGGTGCTGGTGCCCTTGGTGGCTGGGTACCCTGGCTCCTTGGGTACCGCAGCGTGCAGCACAGCATCAGTGCTTGGAGCCCCAAAACACCCCACACTTTTACCCTGGAGCAGTTTGGGTTCTCAGGGCCTGTGCATCACAGTGGGATCACTGAGCTGCACCAGGTTCTTCCTACCTCTTCCCTCTCCATCCCTCCAGAGATGCTTTATGGACCAAGCACTAGCTCCAATCCATCAGCTGATGGGTCCCACCTCACTGTGGGACACGAGCTGCCCTCCACCCAACGATGCTGTTACCATGCATCCGTTTCAAAGCCTTGCTCATGTCCCGGATGGCCCCTGCCATCTCCTGCAGTGCTCTGTGCAGGGTCTCCTCATCCAGCTGCAGCACAGCACGAACAGCCTCCACAATTGCCTTGGGGAGCAGAGTAAGGAGAACACAACGTGATGAGGGGCCGGGATGTCAGAGCACAGAGGCTCTGGGTACCCGATACCAGCTCTGCCCATGCCCACAGCCCACGAGCAAGGGTGCAGGGGATGGTACCCCCATCAAAGGGACAATGATGCTCTACCTTAAACCCTGGCACAGCCGCCTTCTCAACCAGGAGGGTGACGAGGATGAAGCCTCTCAGGCTCTCTCCCCCAGGCAATGCAATGATGGTGTCCAGGTTGCTGCAGCAGCCAAGGATGGGGGGAATCAGGAAGATGCTTCTCAGGGGTACCCTGCACACCCCAAAACCCACTGAGCCTTGGAACCAAACCTTCCCCAGCCACAGAGCCTCTTGCCTGCACCCTGGGCAGGGCAGAGCTGGCCCAGAGCCCAAGAGGAAAGGGGCTGCTGTGGTTCTAAGGGATGCAGGACCCTCTCCATGCACTCACTGGGCTATGAGGCTGGCCCAGGACAGCGAGGCTCAGCCGCAGCCATGGCACTTTGCTGTTGTTGCAGTTGCATTTGCGTGCCAATGAGGCTGAGCTGGTTTTGTTGTGCTCATACATCAAGAGAGAGGAGAGCCCTGCAGTGCTGGAGAGCCAAGCCAAGCCAAACAAAACTAATACCACCTGAAAATAAATAAGCATCTTAAATACTTACTCGATTTCCAGAGGCCTGAAGGCATTTTTGTTATTGCCAGCAAACATACAAGGGAAGGAGAGAGAAAGAGAGATGTTAGAATCAGCAATGGGTTGTGTTCTGGGGGGGGAGCACAGAGGGGCTCATTGGTCCAAGGCAGGCCCCACAATGGTGGGTTTCATTGGGGTCTGATGGAACAGGAATAGTTTGGGATCCATTGTGCTGGGTGGGCCCTGCTCAGGGTCACCACTGTTGTCTCTTTACCCATTGGGGTTCTTCCTCCTCCAGTTGGCCAACACAATGTCTGCGTGGCTGAGGATGGGAGGGAGGCCCAGAGCCTGTGAGACCTCCCAGAAGGGGACAGCAAGGTTTTGGGGCAGGACCTGAAGGGCATAAAACACAGGAGAAGAAGAAGTCACTGTCAGGTGAATGGCGCCAGTCTATGGGGTCACGCTCAGGAAAGGGGCTTTGCTCTCATAGGATGAGTCCCAGGGGAGCTGCCTCCAGACCCCAAGGAGGAGGTGAACTTGCTCCACGATGTTTTTACCTTCACGGTGCCCTCCTCGCCCTCCTGCCAGAGGTAGCCCATGGTGATGAAGCTGAGCACCAGATGTGCCAAGTGCAGCTCCTTGCGCCCATGGAGGTGCCGGGTGCTCAGCTGTGGCATCTGCCAAGGACAAACCCTGCTAGTGCCAATCCATCCAGCTTCCATCCCACCTCCCTTGCCCAGGATGCTATTGATTCCCTATTGCTGGTCTGCGAACACGGACAATAAATCACAGCATTTCACTTATGAAGGCATCCTTCTCCTTTTGCATGGGTCCAGCCGGACCATGGACCATAAAGCCTTGTGCTCCTCAGCTGGGATGAGCCCAGGGATCCACCATCAACGCTGATGCATTGCTCTTGGGTGGCATTAGTCCTTGTCTGGCTGTGCCCTTGCTAAGCACACGGCTTTGCTTTTCCATGTGCTTTTGCAGTGCGGATACTGCTGTGTCAGAGCAAGGCTTGAGAGAGCTTCAGGGATGGGAAGGATAAAGGTACCTGGTGAACTCGTGAGCGGAGCCCATGGCTCGTGATCAGCTGAGGCAGGTCGTGGGCAATCTCCATCCATGGACCATAGGGTGCCGGCAGCTCTGTCTTGGTAAAGAAGGGAGAAGGAGGACACTTAATGCACCGTGCGCCTGCATCCACCCCCCAGCATCCATCCAGCCTCAGCCATTGCAGTTAATGGCTTGTGTCTGCTTCCCCCGCTTGTAACAGCAGCCCTTGGGATCGCGGTTAAGGGATGATAAACAAGCGTCTGCCTGTCCCTGAGCGCTCCCTGCTGTGAAGTAAACCCGGTGATAAATGGCACCGCTTTCAGCACGGAAAACGTGCTGGAAAAGGGCTTTCCCTGGGGGCTGAGCACTCTCTTCACCCTGGAAGCCAAGGCCAGAGTGGGTTGCAAAGCCCCTTCTCCTCTCCCCTGTGCCTCTTGCTAATCCCTTGTAGATACCCTATGAAACCGTGCCTGAATAGCACGTGCCTTCCCCACTGCTGTTTATCGAGTGGGTTAAAGTAGCATCAAACTGAAACCCAACCCAACAGCCACCACCAACCCCTCTGCTCCTGGGCCGCGTCCTACCAGAGGCTCGGGAAGCAGGGAACCGTATTCCTCGGAGAGCTGAAACCTCGCCAGTGCCAGAGGCAATGGGGGCTCCTCCGAGCCGTCGCCGGGCTCCATCACTGCAGGGTCAGGATGCGACCTGGCTCCTGGTGCCTGCCGCGCTCCCGGTATGTGCTGAGCCAGCGCTCCTTGTCCCGGAGGGAGCCAGAGCCCAATGGCCGGAGGGGCCGAGCAAACACGGTTAAAGGTTGCTGATAAGGGGCTGTCATAGAGCAAACACTGATCTCCAGCCCCGTGGGCATCCACCTATGGGGAAGGCTCGGGGATGGGAGCTGGCTCTCCCCAGCACCTCCCCTTGGAGCTGCAGGGATGCTCCAGGCTCTCATGGGAGGCTGCATCAAGGTGACCTGGGGTGCTCAGGGATGCTGCATTGTACCCCCGCGTCCTGGCAATGCCAAACTTATGTCCTGTGTGCAGGAACCAGGCAAGACGCAGAGACCATCCACTCAGCACCAGTGCAGCACAGACCCACAGCCACCACAGCGCTAGGCATGGCAGAGCAGGGCAGACCTGGGTTGGTGGCTCTGGGACCTGCCATAGCTCCTGGCAGGTATGTGACATCCCCGGGTACCAAGCACCACAGGAGTGATACAGGAGGCCCTCCCTGTACCCTCACCCTGATGCTGATGCTCACACTAACACTATGCCTGGCATAGCCAAAATAAATTGATGGGGTGGATGCAACACATCCAAAGCCCTGTGTAGCAAGGAGTGAAACTCCCTAATCCACATTTCTTGCCACTCAAGGGTTTATCGGCATTTTGACCTGAACAGGAGCTGAGTTGGCATCAAATTTGTCATCAAATCCCCATCAAAGTCCATAACGATGCTTTTAATTGCCAGTGGTCAATGGCACACCGGTGCCGTGCTGTGGGCATCCCGACCCCACACATCCCAGCGTGATGGTGAGGGCTATGGGGTGCTTGTCCAGCGGCTGTGGCGGCAGGGAAGGGACGAGAGAGGGGATTTCCTGCTCCGATGACTCAGGCTTCCTCCTCCACCCGGCCCCACGCCAGCGGGAAGGAGCCTGCCCCATGGCAGGGACCGGGGCATCCGCCCCAGGCTCTTCCTGTGGGTCGGCGCCAGGCAGGGGCCCTGCAGTCGGGGGTCACTGGGGCACCCTGGTGGGTCCCCCCCCCCGATGCAAGAGGGGCTTGGTAGGATGCTGTGAGCAGGGCCTGCCCAAACAGGGGCTTCCTGGGGGAAAATGAGCACCGAGAGTGGTGCCTGCACTGAATGCATCCCATGCTGGGGCTGGAGGTTCCATGGATGGGTGGGAAGGGATGGAGACGCCATGGATGGGTGGGAAGGGATGGAGACGCCATGGATGGGTGGGAAGGGATGGAGACGCCATGGATGGGTGGGAAGGGAGCCACGGATGGGTGGGAAGGGATGGAGACGCCATGGATGGGTGGGAAGGGATGGAGACGCCACGGATGGGTGGGAAGGGATGGAGACGCCACGGATGGGTGGGAAGGGATGGAGACGCCATGGATGGGTGGGAAGGGATGGAGACGCCATGGATGGGTGGGTGGGAAGGGATGGAGACGCCATGGATGGGTGGGAAGGGATGGAGACGGATGGGTGGGAAGGGATGGAGACCATGGGTGGGAATGGGTGGGAAGGGATGGAGACGACGCCACGGATGGGTGGGAAGGGATGGAGACGCCATGGATGGGTGGGAAGGGATGGAGACGCCATGGATGGGTGGGAAGGGATGGAGACGCCATGGATGGGTGGGAAGGGATGGAGACGCCATGGATGGGTGGGAAGGGATGGAGACGCCATGGATGGGTGGGAAGGGAAGGGGATGGGTGGGATGGATGGGTGGGAAGGGATGACGCCATGGATGGGTGGGAAGGGATGGAGACGCCATGGATGGGTGGGAAGGGATGGAGACGCCATGGATGGGTGGGAAGGGATGGAGACGCCATGGATGGGTGGGAAGGGATGGAGACGCCATGGATGGGTGGGAAGGGATGGAGATGCCATGGGTTGGAAGGGTCCCAATGCAGGCATTGTTCTGGTACATAGTGAAGCTCAGGAACCACACAACTCCTCGTTGATTGTGAACAGCTTTTGTTGAACAACCAAAACCACAACAACCGGACACGCTACACCCGCTTACAGTGGTGACTGTCCAGGATGCCGTTACGTGGCTGCCAAGACTGATGCCACATGCGTCTCCCTCCGTCATGCTGCACTGCAACATCCCTCGTGCCCTGCTCTCCGTGGACCGAGTCCTGAAACCTGAGGCTGGAGAGGAAGCACTGTTATGGTCAGCACCCACCTCCAGCCACATGGACCCACATGGAGCTCATTTGGGGGCCAGGCCCACCACGAGCCACAGGGACATTGTGTCCAACCAGTAACGCAGCACTGCCAAGTCTACCACTAACCAGGTCTCCAAGTGCTGCATCTAAGAGGTTAAATACCTCTTCCCACCTTGGGTGTGCTGCACAGTGAGAGTCCTTGTCCAGGCTCCAGCTTTCCTGCCACCTACACACTGTGACCCCAACACCCTTTGGTGCAGAGCACAGACTCACTTGTCATCCTCCAACACCTCCGTGGTGCGACAGCAACTTGGGCCGCTTCTCTTTAGCAACAGGAGGAGGAGCGCCAGGGTGATGGGCAGAAAGAAGCAGAAGATGAGAAACAGACACATCTTCATGGAGCCCACGTTCGCCTCATCTGCTCCATCGAGGCACAAGGAAACAAAACAACCTCCTTGAGCTCATCCAGGGACACAACATGGGACCCAGGCATGTGCCTAGCCAGCCCCAGTGGCTCTGGCAAGCCACTACCAGAACAGGAATCCATCATCTCTCTCTTCCCATGAGAACCCTCGCCCTGCTGCCTTCACCACTCACCCTGCTCGGTGGGACCGCTGCCACTCACGCTCATTGCCCCTGCTCTCTCCCAGCAGGTTGGTGGTTTCCAGCCCGGGTAGCAATGGCAGGCCCCTAGGTTATTGCAGACCTGTGTGATGGACACGGAGGGATGGGATCTATCACCCCCTGCAGAGGGTGATGCCCGCACATCCTCACCCACCAGACACTGGGCACAGGGCTCTGCTGGTGGCACTTGAGCAGCCTTGAGAGATGCTCCTGCACTTCCACCACCAACCTCACCTCTGCTGCTCTTCCCCACTGAGAGGACCCAGTGGCTGCTTTAGCAAAGCCATGTCCCCAGCACATCCGTGACTTACGCCGTGATTGTGGCACTTCATCCCACAGCTGTAGTTGAGGACAGCGACAGACACGCACTTCTGGCTCAGGCAAATCTATAGCACAAGCACACAGGCAGCCCTGGCTAAGTTACACACCCAGCTCCATCAGGGAGCTCACAAGGGAGCACCAGGCTTCGTGATGGACCCCATCTGAAGGGGTTCCCATGCATCCATCCTCACTCATTTGGGATGGAGCTGAAGAAAAGCCACTGCCCTCGTGGTCCTGATGCCATTACCACTGCAATGCTTTCTACAAGCCCTTCCTCTCCCAAAGGAGCTGCTGCCATCAAGGCATCTCTTACCTTGCGGTCACCACAGACGGTGCCATCGTTCACCAGCATGGGGTCCCTCTCCGTGGGAGGCTTCATGTAGTCCAACGTTACACACAGCTTGTTCTGCACCAGAGCGTACATCACCGCAGCCTTCTCCTTGGTGAAGGGCCTGGAGCTCGAATATTCACACACAAGCTTCCCACATTGGAGATCCCTGCAAGGGCAGCACAAGCAAAGCACTTGGCCACAGCCACCTTCAGCCTTCCATCGCAGCTCTGTTGCCATCCCCACTGGGAGCATGGACCCCAAGCTCCCTGTTCCCAGCACGTGGACACGGCACCCTTACCTTCACACAGGCCTGGGAAGCATCTCCCCTCCCAGCTCCACATGGACTCATTCAGTGCTCAGCTGCATTTCCCCCTCACCTTTTGGGATCCCACCTCTCCTGCTCCATGGCAGACCCCGCTGCAGCACTTACTTCCATGCGCACCGCTGGTAACCGCGTTGGTTGGAGCCGCAGTGCCCCATTCTGTCCATCTGGCTGTTAATTTCTTCATAGCAAGCCAAGGGCCCATTCCTGGCCACTGCAAACACAGAACAACGCTCAGCGTCTGCCCCACAGCCTCTCTCCACCTTGGGAATGGGCATCTCCACAGGCTACCCATCCTCAGTGATGCCCGGGGCCATCGGCATCAGACCCAGCCCGGTCCCTCCAACCCGCCATGGTGGGATGCTCCAGCTTGGATCACCTCCCATGAGGTCTCTGCTCTCACCTACACCTTATAAACACCCCAGGCTACCCCATGCCCTGACAGCACACTGATGGGCACATAGCCCAGCAGGTTTCTTCCCTTTCCTCCACACCACCCATCCCGTTTCACACACACACATAGGTTGGGATGCCAGGGTTTCCCCGTCCCGGAACCCATCACCCTTACCTGAGCCGAAGATCCTCTGGCACTGCTTGTCGGCTGTCTGGCAGACCCCCCGGTAGCAGAAGGCGGTGTTCCTGCTGCAGGGATGCCCGTCCATGACCCAGAGGTCTGGCGAGCACTGCGCAGAGGTGCTGTTGCAATATTCCTTCAATTCACACTCATCCTCGGAGCTGCGCCTGCAAACTGCGCCTTGCCTCCTAAACTGGAGAAAAAGGGGTGAGAGGAGAACCACAACAGAGTCACCAGCCTGAGCTGCCTGGCTGGGATGGCCAACGCAGGGGGATATGTGGAAGCAAGCGATGCGTTATCCCATAGGAATGCACCGTTCCCATCCCATCCCACGGCTCACCCGGCACTTCTGGCAGCACGGTCCCGTCAGGCACTGCACCCCTCTCCTCAGCTTGCAGCCAATGGTGCAGCACGGGTCCCACCTGCATTCCTGGAGGTGGGGACAGTCAGGGAAGGTTCCGCTTCTCCCAAGGATACGGGATTAAGCGTGGCCTTTCCCATCTCCCAGGCTCTGCTGTGGACGGTGGTACCCAGGGTCCCCATGCTGGCTGCCACTAGTCCGTATTGCCCATCCTTACAACACTCACAGGCTCCATCCATCCATCACCAACACCGCACAAGCCCTTTAGGACAGACTTGAGACACGGCAGCCACCGCAGCCAAGTGTCTGCGTGGCTTCAGGGTCTCATAAAGCCTGCAGAGAGGGCTGGAGGATGCAGGAGCAATTCCCACATGGCTCGGCTCTGCCCCGCTGTACCAACGCTCCGCAGCTCACCTCTGCTGTACCGCAGTCGCAAGCCTCT